GTGATGAAAGTCAAAGTTGTGAAACATTCACTCATTTTTGCTCGGTACTGTATGTATGTAGATGATAGATAGATCTATATAGCTCTTTCTTGAATTAAGAATATTATCTTATATAAGAAATTTTAGTTTATTTAAAAACTTACCTGATTTAAAATAAAATTTAAGTTGAATTTCGTTGATTGGATTGCTTTAGGAGCTGGTTAGCTCCTGGTTCCTTTGGCCTCACGTCTCCTGCACTTTCTACAGAATCTCCTTTGGACTCTTCCCCAGTCTTTTCTTCTGGCTCTTATCTTGGCTGCTCCTCAGTCTTCTCTGCTGACTACCCTTTCAGCTACTCTTCTATCACGCGTTTGAACTCCTCTCCTGGCTCTTCGTTTAGTTCCTCTGCTGGACAGCTCTGCCGTCCTCTTCTCTGCTCACTGCTCCTCTTCTGGTTTCTCCGCTGACTCGTCTTCTGCCGCTGCTGGCGTCTCGTCAAAGGCCAGACGCTTGGTATCCCCTTCAATGGTCAGCACAAAGACGTAGTGCGTCCTCTGCGCAGCCAGCAGATGCCAGAGCGCGTCGGGCAGCCGAAAGCGATGAGTGGCTGGCTCCGGCTTGAACTCCTCGTAGTGTGCGGCCAGGCTGTTGCGATTGCAGCGCAGCTCGACGAGGCGCAGCGCCACACTGGACACGATTTCCTTACTAGCTGGCAGCAGCTGAATCTCCGCCGGCACCGAAGCGTTAAACTCCAGATCGGGCTGCAGCCAACGATGTTGGGCTAGAACAATTGCACAATTATGGGCAAAGTAGAAGCTATCGTTGCGTCGCTGAGCGTGATAGTTATCCAGGAATTTACTGCTCGCCGGCTGCTTAATCTTTAGCTGCGTGAAACGTGGTCGAGGCAGCGATGTGGTTGCCTCAGCTGCTGCTGCTGTTGCTGCGGACACCATGCGCTGTGGCAAGTGCTCTGTGGGCTGATCAACGGTTAGCACGCGATTCAGGTAGTCGAAGCCGTGGCCCATGACACCCTCAAGGGTGTGGCCCAGGTCGAAGCAGTGGCCCAGCTCGTGACAGACGGCGCCCAGGGTGCTGGCATAGACGCCGCCGTAGGTGCGCCGGTAATTGCTCTCGTCGGGCAGGCGAGTCACATCCACACGCTCAGTGCTCCGAATGCAGTCCCCAATGTCGGCGAACCTTTGCGGCCACGCATAGAAATGGCCGCTGCCAAAGAGCGCCAATCCACCGCCGCCGAGAGCGGCGTGCGCGTGCAAATGTCGCCGGATGTTCGCGTACGAGTAATCCCCGCTGGCTGCAACTGCGGCGCCGTCGTACCACGTGCAGCCGACAAAGGCAACAAATTTTAGCTGGGGCTGCTGTCCCCAGTGGGGGCAGGCGAGTAACTCACTGGCGAATCTCTGCCAGAGCTCGTCCTCGCTACACTGGCGCGCCTCCTGGCAGCTCAGCTGAGAGCGAAAGACACAGCAGGCACCGTTCAAAGTAAATGTGCGATTTGTATAGCCGGCGGCGCTCAATTTATGGGCATAGATGCACTGCACCAGACGTAAATTGAGATCAATTAATTCACAGCGCTGCTTTGCCTCCTGCTCCTGCTCCACCTCGTCCTTCTGCTCCTTCTCGTTGTTGCGGCACACCAAATACAGCGGCTGCACTCGATAGGCGCTCCTCCTTGGCTGATAGCTGAACTGCAGCTGACGCTGCCCGCTGCAGCAGCGCAGCTGAAGCTCACAATTTACTGAATCCGACCCTGAGTTTGATTCTGATTTTGCACTCTCTTGGGACAAATCGAAGAGCAGTTTAAATTCACTTGCGGCAGAAAGCTGTGTCAGCTGTTCCTGCTCTCTATTGTGCAGCACAAGCGTCGCCTTCAGCTGCTGAGCGCTGGCACAGATCGGCTGCAGTCGTCCCTTGATCAGCAGCAGACTGTGTTCCACCTTATCCGCCTCCTTAAGGAGTTCGACTTCAATGTGATGGACACGCTTGCAGACGGTGACGCAGCTGGTCATTGCTCCCAGCCGGCGTACGTCACAGCCCACACTCACACATCTACATACGCACAAATGTCAACATGCACTTAAAAACAGCTGACAGCTGCAGGGCACAGCTGTCGGTGTTACAGCTGAGCTACAGAGCGTGACACGAACGGCACGGACCGCTAAATGTATATTTTGTGAATATTAGTAGCCAAAGCTGAAATGAATTCGCTCATTTGTCAAGTTTGTATAGATCATATTTTGCTTATCCTAAATATGCTGACGATCTAGAAACATATATTGTGTTCCCTTTATTTTAAGCAGTAAATAAATGGCTCACGAGCCAAGGCCACGGAGCGCCTAAAATAATCGATAGCTCGCAATTCGAAAAAATTACATCATTTTACTATCGACCGCTTTTGGAAATTAAAGCTGGAGCTGCGTGCATTCTCGCTAAATATGGCTATCATAATAAATATGTATTTATTTTAGAGTTGCAAGTGTCGATCATGACAAAGCGAATTCATTAACATCAATTAAGATATTTTACACTATATATTTTTAAAAGAAATCACTTTTGACACATCGCTTATCAGTCATTTATTTAATAATTTATACAGCTAAACAGATTTAAAAATTATATTAATTTATCGTTGACGCAATCGGGTTCATGACCCCCGGCCAAACGAAAGCTAGTCAAAGCACAAACCGGTTTTCAGATTCCTTTTAACCTTAAACTTAAGACTAAGCAGCTGTCGGCAGGGATTTTGGAGATTCAGGTGACGGTGACTTCTTTATTATACAAGTTTGCCATTGTGCATGGAGCGATATTTGGAGATGCGCTCCATGTACTCCTCATGCTTTTCCAAGCTGGCCAATAGGCCGCCTTCATTTACCGGTGAATCGTCGGGGCCATAGTTGATTGGCTCGTCGTCGAGGGTGGTCATGGTACCGCCAAGGGCTCGCAGTATGGCCTCGCCGGCACAAATGTCCCACTTCTTGATGATGGAGCTATGCAGATAAGCGGTAGCATTGTTTGCCACCACTTGGAGCACCTTGTAGCCAGCACCGGCAGCGGTGAGCAAGCTAACCTGCTCGCCAAAAACATTGCGCGCCACATCCTTTACGGCGGCTGCATGCGAGCGGGAAACTGTGATGATGGGCTGATCCGATTGCAGACGTGGCAGCTTGCGCAACTCATCCAGATATTCGGACATGGTGTGGCCAACCCACGCCCAGGCGGTCTGACCGCTGAAGGGATTATGTATGACACCAATCACTGGACGACCGGCGACGGCAACGCACACCATGGTCGTTACGTACTCGTAAAGCTCCTCTGGAAGACCAAAGAATTAAGATCTGTTCGCCAGCAACTGTATCAGCATTTGTACCTGTAAACTCCTTGGTGGCATCCAGCGGATCTATCCAAATGGTTACATCCTGCGCCGTGACTGCCACATCGGGCACAACGGCCGTCTCTGGAAGCACCGTGCGGTCTAGATCGAAGCTGTGCGCATCTTTGCATTGCTCCTTGTCCTCCTCAGAGAAAATGCGAACACGTGGAAAGAGGCGCTGCATGCCCTGCTTCATCACACAATGCGAACGGCCATCCGCATCCGTAAATGGATCGTTGACGCCTTCAGCTGTTTTGCCTTTGCTGCGCTCCTTGAGCTGCCGCGAATGCGCCACATCCAGCACCTCGAGCCCACCACGCTGGGCCGCCTGAATAGCCGCGATAAGCATTTTGCGCAGATTCACTTTATTGTCGCTGCGCAGCATTCCATAAATGGCGGGACGCTCATCCTTGTGGTAATTGAGGAAGTAGATGAGCACAATGGTCAGCAGGACGGCCGTTATGGTAGCTGGAACTCGATTTATACGTATTGTGCGTCCGTACATATTGTCTAACGGTTTGCTGCTCATCAGGAATCAGACAACGTCGTTCAGCGTGCCACTTCCCTCGGGCAATGCCAGATCAGCAGCACAGATGCTAGATGCACAAGAAAAATATTGAAAGAGAACAAAAACCGAAAAAAATATAAAACGAAAAAAAAAAAAAAGAAACGAGTCAACAGAGCCCAACAACAAGTGCCGAAAGTCAACTCGATGGCGGCATTGGTGTGCTATTAAACAAATAGCGAGCCACAGTCTTCAGTTGAAGGGACTGAGATAGAGAGCGAGCGAGAGCCAGAGAGCGGCTTCAAAACCACGTCGCGTTCTTTCACCCTTGTGTTTGCTTTTCAAAACAAACCAATTGTAATTGTAAAACCAAAATAAATCAACAGAAATTGTGACGTTAGGCGTCAGATGCGAAATTGCGGTGGTCGGTCGATAATTTAAGTAATAATCGTCTAAATAAATTGCTATTTGAAAAACTGGTTTATTTTAAAACTACTTTTATAACGTAAAGAAACTTATAATTTTAATCTGTTCTTGCTGTAAACTCTCTAAATTTTTGTTTATTCCGAATTGTAATTCCCACTTGCAACCCGATGACAATCGACCATCGAAAAGCTGGCATCTCTGCCGCGCGCTTTTAAAACCTTTTGGCAAGGTGGCAGCCTAGCAATCTAACTGTTTCTGGTGCCCGAAAAAAAAACTTCGTAAATAGCTATGCTGAAACGTGAGCTGCAAAGCATTCAGCTAAAGCTGTCAGATTTGGAGGAATATGAATCTGTACGAAGGCGCAACAAAATAAAAGCCGCTACTGATTCAGGCAGGCAATCATCTGCGACGGCCACAGCCACCGAAACGGCGCTATCGACCTCAGCCACCAGCGATTCGACCTCCGAGACACCCGTCACCCAGCGGCAGATAGACGACCTGCCGCCAACAACTGGTTGGTCAACAGCTGTGGTTACCAGCAGCAGCAACACCAATTCCGGTTCCACGGAAGATGACACCAGCGTAGTGGCCGTAGCCGATGACAACGATACAGCCGCCGAGCTCAGCGATGACGGCTGGGTGGACGTTGATGAGGAGGACGGCGCCCGAGGTGGCGAGTAATATTACTGCTCAGCTATAATGGGCCAAAGGAGCACCATATACTCATGCATACAGACATACGTACATGCATATGTACAAAATACCTTAGATGCTCATCAATATATCCGATGTTCATCATTGTATACCAGCGAAAGTTTAAGTTCTAATAAACCGAATTTATACAAGTTTTAAAATGGAATATATTCTCCGTTTCTCTTCCATAACGGCATTCGCATAACAGCTTTTGCATATGAGCTTTTCAACTATTTACACATTTACGAGTATGCAACGTGCAATCAAAGCTTTGGCGGCTCCGAGCGGCGCTCGATTTAAACTAGCGAAAGCTATGTGGCCAAATGGTGAACGAACGTAATGGTAGACGCTGAATCCTCAGGTGGTCGTTGCGCAAATGCCACACGGTCGGTCAATGCGGCATTGTCAGCCGCCGTGTGCGCCTGTCTGTCCGCATTCGCGCAACAAAACAAAACGTGAGCCGCGAACCGTGAAACGTGAATCGAGCGCGCTGTAAGGATTTGACTGAAATACGGCCGGTGCACTGAGCGGCTGGAAATTCGGAACTTCCGCGTGGAGCTCATGTGCGTGCGTGACAAAATTGCGTTAAATGGGCTAATTGTTTGTTGTCATCCAAATTAGCGCGAGCCTTCCAATTAATTACGTGAGCAAATTGGATTTTGTTTCGTTTTCGCTGGTGTCCGTGACCTGCAGTCGAAAAGATCGACCCACGTGCGACAACCTGCCGTCCCACTCTTCCTCCCCGCTGCGGTTCCTGCCATTCGACCAAACCAAATGTAAGTTAAACGTGACAGACAGAGACCGTGACCGAGACGGAGACGTAGTCGGAGACAGAGACGGAGACCGAGTAACTGACAAACATTCACACACGAAGCATGCAAATGGCGGCGTTGCATCGATATAACCACCTGTCATACACACACACACACATACAGAGATATATATCTATATATAATACTTATACACACATGCATTGCACAAGTGACTGGCACGAGATGCGCCACGTGCAGTGCGGTGCGACAGTAAAAACAAAGGACATGTTACAGTGCAGCTTCGTTAAAAAGTAATTTGTATAAATTGTCGACAGTTTAGTGCACACGCGAAGAAAAAGCTTTGAATAGATTTTAAAGATACGAGAATTTTAAAATCAAAAAATTCTTGACAATACATATATGTATGTATAAAAAAAAAGTAAATTTTTAAAGCCGACTTAATTGAATTGTATTCAAATTTTTTATATTATTAGGACTTATGAATATTCAAATTTAGATTCACGAACCAAACTGCTCTTGCAGCTCATACGAACCGATCTTTCTTTGCGACTGTGTAGCCCTGGTTCAAAATATTTTGGCAGCTTTCGAGCACTCGTTTCAATTTGAAAAATAATGATTTTTGCTTTAAGGCCTCACATTTTTCGCAAAGTGTAAAATATTGAATTTGAGCCAAAGAGTTGTGTATATTGCATGGAATATGTGCATCTACGGCTTGGTCAAGGTTATGCCCGCAGAGCAGCTGCCCGTTTCGTCTGGCTGGGCATAGAGAGCCTTTTATTAGATGCACATAATTAGCTCAGCTCACTAGCGCACACACACATACACACACACACATGGTTTGGAGATGTGCAATCAGATGCTTATCCCAGGGCTTACTGCTGCTGCTCATATTGCCAGAGGGTTTCCCTCAACAGGTGCGACAATGCCACGCGCCGGCAGCTCTCACCGATTGCCCACTGCCCGCATCGTGCCATGCAGCTGCCTGCATTATTAATGCGGCACAATGGACAAGTGCATGTTAAATAGAAAGCGGCTACAATGCAAACGGCCCGCTGACCTGTGTGCTAGTGTGACTTAAGCCTTCCAGCTTCCACATCATCATTGTCCCTCCGCCCGATCTCCCTTTCTGCCTGCCGCCCGTCGCCTTTGCCTTTGCCTTTGCCGTCTCTCGGCTTGTCTCAGTGCCATTCACAAGTTTCTGCGAGCGCTTGCCTGCTTTTAGGCGGCCATGTTTTCATCTGTTCTGCTTTGCTGTTGCTTCTCCTCAGTCTCTTTTGTTGTTGTTGTTATGGTTCGTGTAAGTGTGTTTTTGCATGCAAAAACAATATGGCTGCACACTTTACAGTTGTTTATTCAGTGCACAGTCAGGCACACACATACACACACATTTACACTCTCACAGAATTGCTTACACACATACATATATATTAATATCGATATATTTGCATGTGTATCCGTGCACTGCAGCGTTTTGTCAGCTAATTTGCATGAATTTTATTTCTGTGGGCGTGTCAAAGGGGCCGCAAGATGGCATGGCTTGAAGTTATTTTTCATGCTGACTGCACAGGAACATAACGGCAAATGACAATGACAACTGATTGACAACAACAGCAGCAATAGCAACAGCAACAGCAACAATTGCAAGCTACTTTAAAGAGGAAAACGAAATTTACTATAATCCAATCAATAACAAAGCTTAAATGTAATGCACTTTGAATTGAAAATGTATATTTAATTTGATTTCATTGAAATACATTTTGATTTTAAACTTTTGCTCATTGTTTTTGAGTGCATCATTATTTACGTAACGTTCGTTCGGCATTATTCCTGAATGCCATAGTATTTCGACTATGCAGGATAGTGTGATATTTGTATATATGCATACATACATACTAAATATGTATGTATGTACATACATAATAATCAGCGCAACTGAAGCTTAGCTCACGTGCTTTAGTTTTGGCTCTATTTTGGGTTTCACTGATTAAGCGGACCTCAGACCTCAGACCTAATTAATAAACATACATATGTGAAAACATATATAAATACATAGCATGCATATAAAAATCTATATATTCGGGTATTTAATATGAGCCATTGGGGTTTTTGAAGCATGTGATTTTTAATGAATTTCCTTTATTATTTTCGTTTAGTTGTTATATCATATACCCTATATACATGGGTAAGAAGGGGTAAGATGAACTACAACTCGCTTAAATACTATCTTCCCCGTGAATGGAAGGAACAGCTACATATATAGAATATGTTGGCAATCTTTACGAATTACCACATATAACGATCATATCCGACTTAAGAAAACTCTAGGCATATTACTCCTAGATATCTTACATTTTGGTTACCAAACATGTACAGGGGGATATTCTTCCAGTTGAGTATTGCCACAAAATAAAGATCAATATTGTGTACAGGGTATACTTTAAGTCGAGCATTGGCAAAAAGTGAAACTGAATTTTGGATAAGCCTATCTAATCGTAATCGCAGTCATTTATGAGATGGACTAAATAAATAGTCGGCTACTGTGCAAGCATGAGAAATGGATTGTGGCAAGAGTAACCCGATAAGCCGATAACCGATAACAAGGCAACGGAGACTAAAGTATATGATCGTAGTATTCTAGAGTATGCACCTTGAGGCAGCATTCAGTCGGCTTTATGGGAGTATTTCAAACCATGGCAAGGTGCCAACGCCGTTGAACGATGATCGATAATCGATATTTTAGCAATACATATATATTCAAATGTGAAAAGTTGATCACTGATTAAGCCTGGAATCAACGTTTAACGGATCTTATAGAGCTCCGAAGCAAATGGCGACTTGCCATCGGCAGATAACCAATAATCGATAATCGATAACTGTTCCATAGCAGCTAATAAGATGGTTGCTAAGTGACCTAAGCGATCTTAAGGCAGCATTCGGCAGTACTTCTGTATCGCTTTGTATAGGCCACCTGAGATAACCGAGAGCCGATAACGATAACCGATAGCCGGCTTCATGGCAGATGCTTCTTCTGTCCAGCTCCAGCTTCAGTTTCGGTTCAGTTCCGTTTTGGCAATAGGTGAATGGACCAATTAAACGCCACAGATGCAGATGTGGCTCTGCCCCCACGAATGTATGCAAAAGGTGTCGCCAGCCTTATCGCGTCCGCTGGGTCCCCAGAGGCTAAGAGCAGGCTAAGGAGGCGGCCATTGGCATTGGCTTTGGTTCGAATGGAATTTAACGCACAGTTGTTGCATTTATTGGCGGCGTGAATAATCTCTGCTAGCTGCTGCATCTCACATTTACAGATAAATATGTATATATGTATATGTTGTACATGCATGTGTATGTGTGTGTGTGTGCCTAAATTTCAGTTGCTGTCCGAATTGTTATCACCAGAATGGAATACGAATACATAACCAATTGTTGTGTGAGCGATTCTCAGCTGTTGTTGACGATTTGGGCAGACAAACATTGAACACAACAGCAACAACAGCAACAACAACAACAACAACAATACAAATTGTAAATGGGCTAAGCTAACACCAACACTAACACACCACACACACACACACACTTTCCATGTGTATTTGTGGGCTTAAAATAACTGTGCGCCGCTTTTCAAAAATAACTTCAACTAGTGTGGGATCCATCGTTCAGTCCAGGAGCGGATCGCGGTCAAACGATGTGCAGCTTGCGCGCCAGCCGGCCAAGCTGGCCCCAGATGAACGCCGGCAGTGAGCGGGGCGGCGGCGGCGGCGCCGGTGTGCATATGAACGGAGCACGGTCCATCAGATCGCGCAGCATGGACAGACGGCAGATGCAGTCGCCCATCAAGTAGCAGCCGTGCAGCAGCGAGACGAGCACCAGCAGCGCCTTGAGCATGCCCCAAACCGAACGTCCGCGCAGCTGCATGCTGAACGATCGCCGGACGGCGGCCAGCAGCGATGACTCGACTTGGCCCGGATCCTGTGCCTGCTGCTGCACCCCGATGTCGCCCTCCTCTGTCTGGGTCTGCCCGTCCACCTGGTCGCGAGTGTGCTCAGCCAGCAGCTGGGCGCGCAGCTGCCTGGCGGCGGCGGCGGCTGCCGCTACCGCAGCCAATGCCGTCTGAGTGCCGATGCTGCGCTGCCCCAGGCTGTCGTCCAGGCTGAAGAGCAGCTTGTCACAGCAATTGCACCGGAACTCGGCATCGAGGTCCATGTCGCTGTCGCTGTCGTTGTCGTCGCTCTCGCTGTCGGTGTCCTCCATTGCGCCGACCTCATCGAAGCCGGGCGGCGGCAACTCGTCCTCCAGCTGCGGAAAGTTCTGGGCGCAGATCCAGGCGAAGAGCTTGACTGGATTTGTGGGCGCACGGTTAGGATCGTTGTCATCGGCGACCATTGGAGCAGGCGCATCACCGGGAACGGCGGCGGTGCCGTCACCTGCTGCTCCTTTGTCAGTGGGCGTGGCAGTTGGCTGCGGCTGCGACTGTGGCTGCGGCTGGCAGCTCCAGTCGGAGCTGCTTCGCTTAGATTCTTCCTCCATTATCAGATGAGTCTGGTTGCTGTTGTCGTCGTCGCGGTGCTGAATTTGGTGGGCGTGGCTGCATCAAAATATATCAATTCTCCACATTTGTATATAGATATATGTGAATTTAATTTAGTTTTTCTCGCTTCGCTTGCCTCACTTACGGAAACGGAAAGGAGCAGTAAATATCTCTCCTCGATTTTCCGATTTGTGCTATGCCAGTTTCACCCCGCCAGCTGAGTCAACAGCTGGAACTTCAAACGCAAAGGCGATGTGATCGACGTTGCCCCGGTTGGGCCCAGCTGCGCTCCTGTGCCTCAGTATTTGCTTTGCTTTGTTTTGTGCTGTGCCCATCTCCTTGTTTCCCATTCGTAAATCCACCCGTCCCTCTCCGCTGCTTTCGGCTGCGCTCTATTTGCATTTGCCGCATGCAATCGTTATCGATAGTTTGCTATCGCTGTGCAAATGCAGCTTATCGCCTGTCTTAGCTCAAATGCAAACAAGGCTGACTGCAGAGGGCGTGGCAAGTGCTACACGTACGACGGGTTTCTTGTGTTTACGCGCTGATCTCATATGACTTGCGAGAATCGAATTTGGATAACGATATCGACAAGAGCTATCGATCGGTTATGTTTGTAACTTTTCTATGGGGCTTAGGCAGATAAATTAGGTTGCTAATTGCATAGTTACGTCTTCTTCTTCCTCTTCCTCTTCTTCTTCTTCTTCTTCTTCTTCTTCTTCTTCTTCTTCTTCTTCTACTGCATGTTCAGAGATATTTTATTGATATGATCCCTAAGGTGTTTTAATAAAAGATGATCTAGAATGAACTCTTAAGGATTCTATATTATATATCATGAAATATATAATTTATTTATACATATATAGGAACTTTCATAAAGGATATTCCAATTGAAAAAAAAAAAAAAACAAATTTATGACATATAGTTTATTAAATGTATATAATATAATCTATATAATATATACATATACAAACATAAATTTATCGAATACTAGGAATTTATTATAATTTTAACTTAGCTTTAAGAAATATATCAAATATCATTTTAATTCTTGAGCGTGATCTATATCTTGATACTGATCAATTAGGTATAAGTAGACTTGCCCCTCGGCGAGTGACTACTGTACTCGTATAGGAAATGGGAATTATTGCTGGAATTTTAGCTGCTGGTATTTATCAACTGCTCGTGTAATGATTGTCTTGCATCGCTGTTGTTTTTCTGTTGTTGCGAGGCGACACAACAACAACAATAACAACAACAACAACAACAACAGCAGCAGCAGCAGCTCCATTAATGGCGCTTATCAGGCAGCATTACGACGATTGCCGATCAACGATCGAGGATCGTAAATCGTGTGACGACAGCGAGGTGTTCTGATCACGGGTTGCGCACCCGCGCCTCGTCCCGCTGCGCTCCTGGAATGGGCTAATGCCGATGTGGGGGAGCTGATAACACGCACACAGACACACACACACACACACATAGTATACACACATATATATGTATATGTATACACATAGCTAAGAATCGAGCGCTTAACGCTTAATCATATATGTACCTAGATTTATATAAATATATATATATGTATATGTATATGTGTGTGCATATGTGTGTATAACGGAATGTGTCTTCAGCATAAAATCAATTTCCCTTACACTTTGCTACCATTTCAAATAGTTTACCTAACAAATTCACAGCAAGTCACGCACAGTGGTTCGAGCTCACGCTGAAAACTGCAATTGATATGCAATTTATTCAAAATCCAAGTTTCATTTATATTCTCAACTATCGTCAGTTTCTAGTTTCAATTTGCATTGCTTCTTCGGTTCATTTACGTTTTTTGTCCGCTGACAATGCAAGTGGTGCCACTGTGCGGGCTTCTCCAGCAGATAGATTTACAAAACCTAATACTTTGTTGCTAATAAATAAATCTGAGCTTCTATTTTAATCTGCGGCACACCGACACGGCAAATACTCTTAGCCACTGCCATAAAGATTGTGCCATAAGAGCGCTATAAAAACTTCACGATCTATAGGATGTGCGAAAACTGTAGAAAAGTGTTTTATCCACATGGAACTTTTGCATTTTTTATATACATAGTAGTAAAGTAGTAAAGAGAGAGAGAGAGAGAGAGAGAGAGATAGAGAGAGGGAATGTTGTATATGTATATAAAAGAAAAAAAAAGTATATGACGTGCTATATAGATACCCTAGGTTTGCGAATTATATAGATTTCAGTTAGTGAGACGCGATCTATAGAGTGAGAGCAATGAGGAGCAATGAGAGGGAAAGAGATAGTTGTATAGTTAGTTATTAAATATTTGGCATTTAATATGCTCATTCTATATATGTACATATGTATGTATGTATATATGTAAATAGATGTACTCATGTTAATTAAAATTTAACACTCATCCCGTGGGCAATCTAATGCCAGCTATCCCTAATGCTTCTCCACCCACACAGCTCACGCAGCCGTTCCGCCCTGCCCTCGCTCGCTCATTCCCTCCCTCTCTCTCTCTCTCACACACACGCACAGACGCGCACACACACAGATACAGTCTGCCGCATTTTCCTATTGCTGATAAGAATATGCATTTGCGAAGCGCTGCGATAATGGCGTTAAGAGAGCTAGAGAGCCAGAGAACGAGAGAGTGGGAGAGCGAGCGAGTAGAGTGGGAGAGCGAGCGAGTGAGCGAGTGAGTGAGCTAGTAAGCGCTCATAATTGGTTGTGCTTGATTTTTGAACCGTTTCTTATTTGATTTTTTGTTGTTTTCTTTTCGTATTCGATTCATTCGGGCGCGCATTGACAACGGCGACGGCTGTGTGTCCGTCCCACTCCAGAGGCAGAACGCTTTTAACCGTTACACGACAAGCACAATTAGCAAACGAATTTCAAGTTGAACCAATATTATAATACATACATATACAAATACAAGTACATATATATATATTTAAAAAAGAAGAAAGAAATTTAAATACATCAAACTGAAATCATTTTGTTTCTGATTTTTGTTGTTTTTGTTTTGGTTTCGGTTTCGGTTCATATTGTTGTTGTTTTTCGTTTTGATTTGCCGCCCTGTTTTGAAAAGTTGTCGCGATTTCAGTTCCCAATCGTCAGCTCAGCTACGCGCAACGAGTGCAAAGTGCAGTTCCTGCAGATCCCCAAAGGACATTTGTGATCCACACTAAGAAGCAAAGAAGAAGAATTAATGAATTGACTAAAAGTGCATACGAAATTTAATAAACAATTTCAACTCAGAACTAAACAAATAAAAGAGAGACAAAGCAACAACAAAAAGAGTCAAAGTCAAAGCCAAGGTAAGCCATGTTCAACTCTACGCCATATAGGATCTTATCCATAGAGCATCATTATACAATACTACTCAGCATTCACGATCGAGCCACTTGCAACGACATGCATTAAGTTAAGAACTATCGGACATTGTGCAACTATTTTTAAGAAGAGGCACACAAAATCTCTCGCTCTCTCCTTCCCTCTCTCTCTCTCTCTCTCTCTCTCTCTCTGTCTGTTTGACAAAAGCGTACTAAAAATATACTATATATACGTATATACATATATATTCATATATATATATAGATATACTTGCATTTAGAGTATTTCGGTGTAAACGCGCTCGATACGATCGGGCCAAAACAGGGTTCAAGGCCTGATAGAGCCCATTGTGCGCGATTGCCTAAGGCTAATGCCGACTCGTATAAGCACTCTTCACATATCAAGTTAAGAGCCGTGCATATCTATAGACATACAGACATCTTATCAGCTATCAGTGCAAATAATTGTATTCCTTGTGCATGCAGTATCGATTTTTTGTTGCTTTCAATTACAATTGCATTCGATTGCGTTTTTCGAGTGATTTACTTTATTATCATTATTATTATTGTTGCGGTGCCTGTTGGAAATCATAATGATATTCCCAATCGAACAATATTTATGTGTACTGTATATACTTCAATATATTGCAAAATAAAAAAGTTATAAAAAATAATAAAAATAATATATATCATTCTAACATATTTAAAGAATATTGAATATTTTAGATAAAAAATTTTTTGGGTTTGTTTAGGACTAAAATTTTCAGAACTAAAGAAAATAAGTTTCTTATAAAAAAATATTAAATTTCCTTGTAAATTACAAGTTGTAAGACATAAATTAATTTGAAATATGTTATATAAAATACAAATTAAAAAGATGAAAACAAAACAAAAAAAATATGTATATATATACATACATATATATATATATATATATATATATGTATGTATGTATGTATATTGGATTTAATATTTAAAAATATATATATATATATTTTGTTATTTTTTAAAACGTTTACTCATAAAAATTTTATTTTTAATTTTTGTAAATAATTTTTTTTTTAATTTTTTGATTTATTTTGTAAGAGATAAATTAATTTGAAATATGTTATATAAAATACAAATTAAAAAGGAAAATAAATCTATAAGTAAATAAATATATTAATAATAAATATATTATTATATATATATAATCTTAAAAAAAAAGTTTAATATTTAATATATATAGGTTTTTTTTTGTCATAAAATAAAAATTTGTTTTTTTTTTTAATTTTTTAAAATAATTCTTTGTACAATTTTTTGATTTATTTTTTAAGTACTAAAATAAATTTGATATAATAAAATATTTAAAAATATTTTTTTGTTTATTTTAATTTTTTAATACTAAAATGAATTTGATTTGTATAAAAATAATAAAATATAGGAAATATAATATATATCAATATAATAAAATATTATACTTTTTTTTTAGTTATTTATTTATTTTTTTTTTTTAAATAACAAAATACACTTTTTATTTTAAATATTTGATGCATTTTGTGTTATTCTAATTTTATTATTGTTATTTATTTTTATTTTTTATTCACTCATCTATTTCTCAACAATTTTATTATGCTCTAATATAGTTATCCAAGATTATATATTTGCTTAGTCGTACTTTAATATAGATGTCAATGTATTAAGATTCGATTTCGTATATTAAGGGAATACACAAACATCTATGCGGAAAATGAGGAAAAGCCGCAGTGTTCCATCTAGGGCCGAGTGAGGCGGAGGCCTTTCACTGTCGCATCGATTTCAGTGGGTCAAGTGCATGGCCCAAATGCCGGCAGCGAGTGGGGCTGCCTGGGGTGGCCAGGTGGGCCCGGTTGGGGCAGGCAGGTGGGCCCGTTTGGGGCAGGTGGAGCGTGATGTGGCGCGAATCACAGCCAAGGCCAATGCAATTAAATCGTCTGACCGGACAATTCGACTGCATTATTGTGACAGGCGTGTAAATTAATAAAATGCTAATTATTGCTATCTGTAATGAGCAAAGTGCGAAACTCACTGATAGAGATAGAGCGAACAGGGCAAGCGAGCGAGCGAGCGAGCGAGAGAGTGGGAGAAGGAGATAAAGACGCAGGAGAAATGCGACAAATGCGACAATCTCTTATATTATGTTCCAGAACTCTTACAGTCTCATAAATGTCATTCATGCACACGCACACACACACACACACACACATATTTGCATTTCTATTTCCATTTCCCTTTAACATTTCTCAGTTTTCATTGATCAACTCGAATGTTGCTCCAAGCAAATGAACTGATTTGTGTGGCATCGGAACCAGCTGAGCCGAACTGACTCAGCCAAGTGAACCCGGACCTAAGCCCCACGCTCATTGGCTAATTTGGCAGCACTCTTTTGGCTCTCTCACTCCCACATGTCCTCACTTAGGCTTTATGATCGGGCAGATAGTGAAATATATATTCATATGCCGTATGCATATATATATGAACTATATCTAATGCAGTGATAGATCTACATACATATATGGCCAGAGTTACTCACTGAACCACTATACCATAGATAACATCATGCTATATGTAATGCATTGTTGTTGTCTATCTACTAGGGGCGTGGCATATAAGTGCCTTTCGAGTTCCATTCAGCTAGTTGGCTTGAAATTCGCCATAAATTTACATTGAAATTTGCACAGCTAAATCTATAGGTTCTATGTTACGCCCATTTTAGGGCGTGGCACATCAATGATTGCATACATTTAGCTCTGGCTGTCTGTGTGGCGAGCGAGTATGCAGCAGTCAGTGCCACTCGCTCAGCAATTCCCTCTCACTCTTTGCTCTTTTTTTTGTGCTTCTCTTTGGTCTTTTATCGTTGCTTTTTCGGGGGGGTTCAATGACTCGCCGCAGCGACCGACAATGGCTGCCAACATTTACAGTAATCTAACAGTCAGCCAGTGAGCACCGCCCCCACTCCGCCTTGACCTCGTTGAGCCAGTGCCAAATTGCACCTAGTGTGTGGGCCATGGCTTGGGATAGGTCAGTGTGCCCAAGGCGTGCCGCACGTACCGTAACGGTTCCTAGTCCGCAGTCAGCGTGCAGCCGCCCCCTTTAGATAAACCCAAGCAAAGTCCCACTGAACTAAAGCTGGGAAGCTGTTATCGCTCGCCGCCTGTCGGCGACATCGAATCGACTTTAGACCGTTCCCATTCGTCCAACGATAGAATCAAAGGCACCGAGCAGCTCAAAGCTACATAGCTTATATATATATATGTATATATAATATCTATCTACTATATAAACCTATTACAACGGCATTTTATGGCAGTTATAATCGATGTGGACTTTCAACAAAAACAAAACATTTATCACTTCAGTTCCATAAAAATACATAGTAAAAAAAAAAATGGAAACAACAAAAAACAACTAGTTCACGAGCTGAACTACTGATTTGTATACACGGAGCATGCATTTTGGGTAGACTGGCTTTACCTAGATGTATGCAACAGGCAATAGTGGGCGTGGCACATCCTCTAGATTGTATATGCTCTGCAATAGGAAGGCGAACAAAGTTCATTTAGCTCCATCCGTTCGTCTATCCGTCTGTCTGTCTGTCTGTTTAATGTCATATCAGCTCTACGCTGAGCTTAGGGTATCTTCTAGTCGAGCAGTCACGACTAGAACAGTCTTACTTGCTTCGAATAGCAAAAGGAAAAGTCTATATAATTAAGTTGAGCAACAGATATATGCTTAAATTATATTTTATGTATATCTACATCTGCACTATGACTATTATTATTATTATTTATTATCTATCTCTCTCTGCTCTTTTTTTTTGTTTATTGAATTTATTGAGTGGGCGGTGCACAAGTATCTCAATCTCTCAATTAGCAACACGCTGCGTATGCGCAATATTCGTTTCATCTTTGCTGCGGCTGCTGCTGCTGCTGTTGTTGTTGTTGTTGTTGTTGCTGCTGTTGTTGTTGTTGTTGATAATCAGCATTTTGTGTAACTAATTTAACCTTAAGAGATTAAAAGCAACGTTCAGTTATCTAGCGCTTATGTATGTATGTATATGTATGTATATATATATATATATATATATATACATATATTCTTACGTCTGAAAGTCACGGTCAATAATTTTGATTTCACTTTCATGGGCAGCTCTCTATGTGCATCTCTCTCTCTCTCTCCCTCCCTCTCATCTATCTCTGTCTGTTCTCTGCTGCGACTCAGGTACGTCTTGCCAAATTCTAATTGCCTTTAATTGCCATAAAGCTCAGCGCCGCCTTCCACGTCAGCGCGACGTGACTTGGTCACGGTGACTGTAACTGTGACTCATCAGTCACTGGCACCGTTTGCCGTTGTTGTCATTGTGGGCTCAGACGGCCCTACACAGCCTAGCGCTTGGGCTTCATATCTCTCATTTTCGCTCTAGTTTATCCCACTGTTCTCTAGTCTAGTCTAGTCTCCATTATCTTATTTCTTTGCTCCTCTCTATTCTCTCTTCTTTCTTGCTTTGCTCTGTTTTCTATTAACTTCTCTCTTTCTAACTGTCTACTCGTCATTTTTTTCTTTATTCTCTTGCCTGTATTCCATTCTCTATTCTCCATACTATATTTTCTATTTTCTATTCTTCATTCTCAATTCTGCTTCGTCTAATCTCTATTCAGAGGGAAGTCTTTCACACTTCATCTCCTTTGCCTATTCCATTCTCTTTTTTCCCTCCTCTCTCTGGCTCTCTCTGTCTCTCTCTGGCTCTCTCTCTCTTTTTCTCTCTCTCTGTTCTTCCCCCCTCTACCGTTTCACTTACTTTTCTCATCTCCAGTCGTTTTTCTTCTCATCTCTCATCTCTTCTCTTTCCGCTCTTTTCTTCTTTCTCTTCACTGTTCTCTTCACTTTTTATCTTCGCCTCACTTCTAAGCTCTTTTCTTCACTAGGACATTCACTGGCCCTCACTATCTATCTACTCATTTCCTTGTTATTCTCATTTATTTCATTATTTTTTTTTTTCATTTTTGCTTTTGATTTCTGATTTTCCTTCTTTATTGTGTTATTTTGCTCGCTGTGCATTTATTGTGTCATTATTATCATCGTTTGGCATTGTTGCAACTTTTGCGCATTGTTTTCACTTGACGGCTGCAACAACAAGAACCAAAACAACAACAACAACAACAGCTATGCAGATTGAGCATGCAAGAAATTGTAGTATATATATATACATATATATAAATTTATGTAGACTACATACATATACATTTTCTATATACATATGTTTATATGAATTATGCAGACGTCGCCTCTATAATGCGATTAACCAACTGACGTCAGCTATTCTACGCGTATAATGAAGAACAAGAACAACAGCGTTGCAGCTGCTCTCGGTCTATAGAAAAGAATTCACTGATGAGCCAAGAGCATATCATTATCATTATCATTATAATTATCAATATCAATGATATTATATTTGAGATTTTCCCACGCTCCGCTTCGATAACACTAGCTCTAACACCTCTATAGTTCATTAGTCATCCATATATGAACATATTTATTTTTATTTCACAAGCTTCCAAATTCCATGTCTCTTGTTTCAACAGCAAGTCGACAACACTTTGTAAACAAGCGCAGCTAAAGAAGAAAAATGCATTCGATTTGTAATGCGAGAAAGTTTTCTACATAGCTAACGATGCAGACGAAGCGATTTTTACTTATTGGCATGATATTGGAGGATGCGGCATTCCAATTGGAAAAATCGAACGATGGGCAGCACTTGTTGGTGCAGGCATTGACAGACAGACATGGACAGCACTTTACTTGAGCACTTGAAGCGATGGGCAGCACTTTACTTCAATAGATATTTATCGCATCAGAAATTGACAGTTATCGATTTATTTAAACATATCGATATACATATTGGTATAGATATAGGTAATTACAAATCAGCTCAGCCTCATAGCAGCTGCATAAGTAAGCTGAGTATACAAGAGCAGCTTTAGCTCAATGATTATCAGCGCTGTTCGCTTGTTTTTGCACAATTCATACACATACATATGCATGTATATATATATTTGTGCATATATTTATATAAATTATACGTATTTAGTTTATTGGCATCAAAACAAGCGCCGAGGGGGGCCTGATAACCAACCAGAGCCATTCTATAAATGAGATTGAATTAAAAATAAACCTTTTGTATTTTTCCCTCTACTTTATTTTGATGAGCGAGCGGTTTCTATTCGCATCGTATCATAGCATCACCCGCCCCTATATCACTCGCTCCCAACATTCTCACTGCTGATCGCCCAGCTCAAGAGGCTGCTGATAACATACAACATCTATATAAATAATAAATAAGGGATCGAATCTTCTGGACCTCGTAGCGATTCCCTCTCTCCCGCTCTCCATTGTACGGCTGTCAAGTTACACATTTATTTTCACGTTGCGTCGGTTCACTAGGTGGCGAATCGATCTGATAACCGCTTCGATTCGGTTTCGCTGCCAGCAGCAAAAGCTCAGGTTACGGCTCATTTATTGACGTGACACGGCATTAAGAAATTGTCAATAGAGGAATTGACTATCAAAACATTTTGAAATGTCTAAATAATGATGAGATATGACAACGCTTTGCCCTGAAATTGGCAGCACTCTGTGCTCATTGAAAATAGGAAATCATATTTTATGTTTCTCTCATATTATTAATTGATCTTTCGTATTATTTATTTATTTTCTTAGACCACAAAGTCTTCCTATAACGATATTCATATTAATATATCTGCAGATATATTATCATATATAGAAAATGCAACAAATCTACACTCTCTCTTATATATACTTCTGCAGCTCTCTAGCTTTATCTACTTGTTGTCCAGTTTCTAATTGCTCTCCTAATTCCTTTTTATTTTCCAGCCCGGCACAACATGACGCAGCAGTCGGAATCGCAGCTCAGATAAGAAAATTTCTGCATCTGGAACACCCACACTAGCACACCAACACACACACACACACACAGACACACACACGTCGTTGGGTGTATCTACGAACACGTTCCACACATTCCACATTCCATAGAGCACAGGAGAGTATACAAAAATGGTTCACGGACCGCCAGCACGCAGAAAATCTCAGCAGCAGTCGAATAACGGGAATGGAAATGGCAATGGGCAATGCGAAATGGATATGGATCCCATGCCCACGCCCCCAGATGGAGGCTGGGGCTGGGTAGTTGTCTTTGGCTCGTTCATGATTCACATAGTCAGTAAGTGCTCATCCAAAAGTCAATTAACCAATACGCGCACTTGAGACAAGTGCTCAAAGGATGCGCACAGTGGGGCAAAGCGAGGTCTACAAGTCAACAATGCGCATAATGTCGCTTATCTGAAGTTAGTTGTCAAGCACTCCAAAGTAGACCTCATGCAGGGCGTACCACAAATTCCTAAGATTGCATGAAATCAGATTTATAATCGAAACGCAGGTTAAGATTTGATACGAACATATATAAATAAAGTCTATCGGCAACATTTTTGAGTGTAATCTAATTGATTTAGACGCTATCAGGCTGCTTTGCCTGAAAACACTCGTACACCTGAATGGCTAATGCGTAATCTACAATCAAATAGATAAGCCCCTAACAACTGCTATGGTATTTTTATATAGCAAAGTCTAAGCGGATGAAAGCTAACTAATTTGTCTCTATTAAATTAATTACAAACCTATAATGATTATTAAATGGCAATTAGAGAAGCAAGAACTTTAATTCGATATGGAGCTATCGCAGCCTTAATATAAATATACTAAGCCATTGTCATAGCTAAAAGCACGATTAAGGATTCATGTTCGATAGCAATCGCGGTAGCTCGTTCAATCTCAACTATCGTCTTTGCTGCACTCACGCGAAGAAGAGCGATTGTATAGAGATGCGCTTGCAGATCGATAACAACTTATCACGATAGTGGATTGAGTGAAAGCAATCGCCATTTTGAGTCCAGCTTATTTGATGGTCATTTAAATGCGATAAAATGGCGGCAAGTGCAAAGCGCGTGTTCTTAGATTTGCAAATAGATCAATTGAATTAACACTTCATAAAAATATGCATTAATAAATCGAATTTAATTAGGAATTAATTGCCACGTGACTGCAATAAAAAGAAAATTTCCCCTTTTCAAATGTGGCTCAGTTGCGGTTACGATTCAACAGTTGTATATAAAATCATACAGTTTTTATAGAGTAATTATCAGCTTTTATCCACTGTATACGCTTTGGGTTTGAAATCTATTAAAAATATCTGCTGTTGATGCTTCAATAGCTGCTCCAATTTCTAGTTGCCAATCGGCATGGCAACCGCCTGGAGCCGCAGCCATAAAGCCATAAAATATAGAAAAACTATAAATGTACATACACACACATATCGAAATACTTATGTATGTACATGTAGAGATATATAAAAAAAGAAACCTTGGACAGTTTACGAATCATGGGCATCATAAATATACGCGCTTTAATCGTGCAAATCAAATTTGTCAGCCGGACGCCCGATTACCACTTAGTCATAAACTTTAGTTAGTTGTTGATTTACGATAGGAATCGATCTATAGATATGGGCGTAGCGAAGGACACGCGGCATGGCACACATGTAATGGCTAATACATAACCATTAATTTGGGTAATTGGCCAATTGGCAGCACAATCTTATCGACCCATTAATTGACACGCCATAAGAAGCTTCGCATTGGCAATGCGCCTTATCTTCGGCTAGTTTTGGCCCATAAAAGTGTCAACGGTAGTGCCTGATAAACAATCAACATAAAAAACGAATAAAATAACGCAAAAAAAGGGGAATAATGATACATATATAGAGATATTTGGTGAACTTTATTAATTTCGAGCCTAAACAGATTTATGGACGACTTTTGCGAGTTTCGTCTGGAAAACCAATTCGCAGACACCAAAAATTATTGCCTACTTGTTGGGGCTTCGGTTGGGCATGTAGCAACAGGAGAGGAGAGAGAAAGATTTGCCTTAAATGGCAAAGCTCGTAGCATTTTCGAAAAGGCAAATTAGTCAAATAGAAATATGATCGAAGATCTTACGAACTATAACCTTGATACTTTGGAAGATCTAACTGCATTTGGCGCTGACAGATAGGTATACTAGAGATATCCCTATTCTAGCTGAAAGATGTAGCTTGCAGAGATTTGATTACATATATCTTTGATAACTTAACCTATGCGAAAGAAGACTTTATCTTCTCGTACTGTATTGGAGGTAGTGAACTAAGTTTCTTGAGATAAGATGGATTAGGATATATTTGCACTGATGTTGTTCTGTTAAACTATGGTAGCCCCGTGCTGTGCCAGATGCCTAGATCTCTAGTGGATATCGAGCTACCTAAGGGAATACCAAATAATGTGTGCTTCTTCTTCTTCGTCTTCGTATATATTTTAGCCGATGGCATGACCTACTCCTTTGGCATATTCCACAACGAGTTTCTCACGTACTTCAATGAGGGCAACGGCTACACCGCCTGGATAGCCTCCATAATGGTGGGCGTTACATTCTCCTCAGGTAAGCTCTCACTGCATGCCCCAAACGCTGGCCTCCGCTGACCATGGCATTGTTTGCTTCGACCAGGTCCCATCAGCTCGTCGTTTGTGAATCGCTACGGGTGTCGAACGGTGACCATTGCAGGCGCCATCCTGGCCGCCGGCTGCATCATCGTCAGCATGTTTGCCCAGAACGTGGCCACGCTGATTGTGACCATCGGCTTCGGCACGGGCCTGGGCTTCGGGCTCATCTACCTGCCGGCCATTGTCAGTGTGACGCAGTACTTCGAGGCGCGTCGCTCCCTCGCCACGGGCATCGCCGTGTGTGGCTCGGGCTTCGGCACCTTTGTGTTTGCGCCGCTGACGGAGCTGCTCATTGGCAGCTACGGCTGGCGCGGAGCGATGCTCATCATTGGCGGCGTCGTCCTCAACTGCATCATATTTGGGGCCATGTTCCGGCCGCTGGAGGCGCCACGGCCCAAAGCGCGGAAGCACAAGAAAGCAGCGATCATGGACCAGAATGTGACGCCAGCCGAACTGGAGCCGCTCAAGGCTCAGGTGACCGGAACGAAGCCAGCCACCGATCAGTATCTGCAGCTGCCGCAGCGCCTCGATGCGCCAGTCAATGGCGGCAACGGACTCTGCCGCTCCAACAGCGTTGGCCACAATCTCAAGCCCACTCTGGTGAGTATCGCAGCTCAGTTCGCTCCAGCTGCAGCCCGGCTCACTCACTCTCTGTGATCTCGTCATGCAGAACAACAATTCGAATGGCCAGATCAACGGGCAGTCGCTGAATACGCCGATCACGGTGAAGAGCAACAGCAACGACGATCTGGGACGCACCTATGCCAGCCAGCCGCAGTTGATGCCGCTGCGGGAGACGCATCGGGAGCGCAGCGCCAGCGGCACCATGTATCGCCCGGATGCGCTCTACCAGGTACGACTGAGACTCCTACTCTCTCTCTCTCTCTCTCTCTCTCTCTCTCTCTGTCTTCTAAACTTTCTCAACTCCCGCATCTCCTTACAGGGCTCGCTGCACAATATACCGGAGTACGCCAGCTCACGGAATGATCTCTCGCACTCGCGCGCCGGTTCCGGCATCATCAAGCGCTACGGCTCCCTAAGACAGAGTCATCCGCTGGCCCAGAGTCAGGTGAGACCAAACACACGTAGTATCTATGTATATAAGGGCTCGTGCGGTTCCTCATTATTCACGCGTGAGGCTGGCGCGTCCGATACTCGTCCAGCAGCAGCGCCACGTAGAGCACCAGCAGCAGGGCGAGCAGGTAGCGCACCACCAAAAACTGAATCCTTAGGACAGCTGAGTCTCCCTCCCTGCCCCCGAGCTGTGCCAGTGCATGCCCGAATTGCTGGGCCAGACGCTGGCGGAGCGTCGGTCTACTTTCATTAGGCTTAGCCACTGGATCACTCATCTAGGTCGAGCTTCAGGACTCGGAATAGAGTTTTTTATGAGCTAGTATACTTGAATTTGGAATACAACAAAATGTTTTGAGTCAACCAATGCCAGAGGCTGCTTAGGCGGAAGCCAGAAATGGGGCTATTGACAGAAAATACAAAGTATCTGAGTAGTGTCGATTGTAGATAGATCTGTCTGATAGATAGCATCAGATACATCATCAGATACAATGTATCTATCAGATACAATGTATCTATCAGATATAAAGTATCTATTAGACACAAAGTATCTATCAGATACAAAGTATCTATCAGATACAATGTATCTGTCAAATACAAAGTATATATCAGATTCGGGGTATCTATCAGATACAAAGTATCTATGAGATACAAAGTATCTATGAGATACAAAGTATCTATGAGATACAAAGTATCTATGA